AATTCAAAAAATAATAATAACGATATGATTAGTTTTCATAATATGAGGGTGGCCACAAAAAAATAAAAAATAAATAAACTTACGTAAATGTATGATCCACCTGGTTTTCAACCTTTTTATTCATATTATAAAATTCCGAAAATGCAACCATTGCCGGAATTTGTAGTAAACAAACTTGTAACGCATAAGCGGAACCAATTTCCATACTGTAATTCAAATTTAAAATGAATAACTATTAATATTTGTAATCGACAGTATTTTATATATTTAAGGTAAATATCTATCTATACCTAAGTGCGATATTCCCATTCAATGCAAATCCCACTGCATTCACAAACTCTGTAAAAGATGGAACTATTGCAAATAATGTTAACCCTAGAAGCTTTTCATCTACGGATGTAGATAAAACCTCAACATTGTGTATTAACATTTCTAAATATCAGATTTTAATTAATTCAATTAATTTAGCCTTTAAATAGGTTAAATAGGTTAAATGCTTGTAATTTATAAGATTAATTTTACCTGCTATAACTGTATATAAAATTGTACATGTTATTAACACAATTACACTTTTCACCTTGCTCCAATTTGGTGAATCATGTCCAGCTGCTTCTTCTTCCTCTGATTCATACGCATGTCTCAATCGTTGATTTTCTGCTATAGTTGCTGCTGCTGCTGCAATTGTATCAAAAGGAATGTTGTTACCGGGTAAAGGTGAAGTAGGACTAATATTAGTACTCGGAATAGGTTCTGTCATAGAACGAGTAGCAGTGGTGGTACCGACTGGACCATTATGTTGTGATGATTGTGGCAGTATCTGTTGTAGGATATGAAGGGGAACGAGTCGTTTGTAGATAGATTGATCATGTTCTGATGCGTGATGACTGGATTGTTGCTGCCACATTAAAGCTGCATGGGTATGTAAAGTGAACCATAGACCAATTAAGTATGACTGGTTAAGGATAAAACGATTCGATGAGTATAAGGCTTGAAAATTTGAGCTTTTAATTTAAAATTGGAACTAAAAGTTTACCAAGACCAGGATCGATGCACAAAAATACATCAGCGGCTTAACGTATTGATTATATAACTTTGTTTCTATTGGATCAACTTGGGTATGCTGGCAAATTTGACAAGAGGGTTCAATATGACCAGCTGCACAAGTAACCGTTCTGCAGTTCATTATATACTAAAAACATTATGTAAACATCTTAGCAAAATAATGGAGATCACATTCTTTAAGAAATATATATATATACACACCGGAGCATAGGTCTGATAGAATAGAGTAGGTGTAAGAGCTCCAATGATCGCCATAATAAGCATGGTTGAAGTCACCCCTAGATAATAGAGAGTAAATAACAAATCTATTTTAAAATTTAGTAAATTTATATAAAATAATACCTGCGCTCTTAGAATTGAATTTTTGCTCTTTGCGTTTCATCCCTCCACTAATCATACTCAAACCAGGCATAAGAAGTACACCACATAATAAGCTCCCAATAATACTGCCTTCAGTAAGTTTACCATTTCCTTGAGTTAATGCCATTGAATATAAGATAATTTCTATAATACTACCAAACGTGGCATTGACCACAGCACCAAAACTAGCTGAGGATTGTGCAGAAATAGAAGCTACTGCCATCCCAATAAAATAAGAAAGAGGTAACACAGAAGCAAGAGAAAGAAAGAAGATAAAACCAGATGAAGTTATTAAATGGTCCTCTGGATCAGATACTACTTCACTAATTATATAATTATCGATTATCGCAAATACAACAAGGGCCATGAGATTAATAAATATAATGTTAACTCCATCATATGTGTACTTATAATACAAGCCGATTGCCTTATATGTACACAATAATATTGTAGATCGGTTGTTGGTAGTAGATGACCCAGATTTAAAATGTATGGTAAGCGGATGCTTTCGTAGATGTCTTAAAACCACATAGGTAAGCTTTGCCATCGGAATGGCAATAACGGAGAACCAGCATAAAGCGGAAACAATAAGGAATAAAGGTCCTATAATTAAAATGATCAAGAAAATTTATAAATTATATGTAAACTTTTCGGTTAATAATAATTATTTTCTACTCACCAATAATCAAAAAGTACAAAAAATAAAAAACAAATTCCGCTAGTCCAATTCCACAACAACTAGGCCCTTCGCGTTCAAGCCGTCGAATAGTTCCAGCAGCTGTCCGACGTCCCAACAATGGATTATCAACATTAATTTCAATGTCTATGCCATTACCCATTAATGAACCTAATGAACCACTGCCGTGAAGATCAGTATGATTCATACTAATGCCATGCTCATCAATTTCGTCAGACCATTCGTCAATTTTTTCAACGTATTTACCGAAAGGCCATAATATGTAGTAACTCAATTCTCTTAAGACAACTGCATATCTCCAGCCACCACATGGTGTTATATTTAAAATAAGTGAAGCGATAAATGAAATTAGTGATAACTCCCATCCAAATAATATTGCCCATAATAAATTTCCAGGGGACATATATAATTCCGCCGTTGGTGTTGAATGTAAGGCGGAATTAGCATCTCGGATTACAGACCGAGATTTTTTGTATAAGGCGGATTTCCATATTGGCATACCGAATGGATGTGTCGTATTGATTACCTGGTACATATGAATATATTTAATGATATATATAATAATTAATAATAAATTTAAATTTCTTACTTCTTGTCTGTCCTTGATTGTAAGCTCACGATCACTATCAGAATCATCTGGCTCCCTGTCATCGTCGTCATTACCATTAACCTCTTCGTTACCATTGTCTAAGTTATCTTCTGATCTCCTTCTATACGACGATAATCTTTTTCTTAAACCCCTCCTCTTAGGCCGTTTTTTGGAATTATTAGAATCGTCACTATCTTCGTTAAAATCGTCAGACTCTTCAGACGGTATATACGAAGATTTACGTCGACTTAACTTTGGAGGTGAACTTGCGCTAGCATTAGAGGAAGTTGGGCGGGATCGATGTGAACGTTGATTTCCACCCGGTGTTTGAGGAATTGAAACCCGTGCTGAGGGCGTTGTTGGCTGATCCCCACCCTGCTCATTAAATGGAAAGCCAGGCTCATTTGACCTGACAGGTTCTCTTGGATTTGGGGACTGATTGTCGTTACGATGTTCTTGCGACATTTAGAGTCGTTATTATTGAATGAACAATTTTACGTCATTTAAATTTCGTCAGATCAGTTACACAGGCTAAAAGGCAAAAAAAAAAAAAAAAAAATTTGTTCATACATGCATGCCAACGCCCCCTAACACGGATTATTTAAGAGCCAGTTAATTTAACTA